GGATATAGCTCGCTAGCAGCCTCGCACCGAGGACCTATCCACGTCATCATTTACCCAGAATGCTTTGTGTGTAAATAAAATGGGCCCGTCTATGTAATATATTATTAAACTTTTAGTTAAAAAATTATAAAAACTGAACATCCTACAGTATTTTTACAGTATTTACAGTGGTTCATACRATTTTTTTCAATCCCAGGATACAGAACACACACTGGTTAATAATTACACAGTAATGTGTCCTAAAAGCAGCAACTAAATCCCAGCAGTTACTAGAAGTAGCCCTCAGGTACTACTTCATGTCAGCAGGTGGCAGAGTTGTATCATTTATCAGTGATTAAATCCTGAAAACATCGGAGACATAATTACCGTATTTATTCAAGTATAATTCGTAAAATTTAATCCATAAAATCATCCATAAAGTTGGGGGGTTGTATTATACTCGGATAAATATTTTTACTTATGTATATTAACTGAAATATCAGCTTCATTCTCAAAATGCCTCAGTCCGGAAATGAGACTGCGTCGTAAAAAGCAGTTGAAACGAGCTTACCTCTGATGCTCCTCCGTGCTTCAGAGCAAGATAATAACAGATCCAGGCAGGAGACATGATGTGAGGGGGAAAAAGCAGTCCTGCATAATGAAGTAATGGCATTAACGTGTGACCGAGCCGCTCCTGGAACAACAACAAACACATCTGTCTGTAATGGCTGCCGTCTACCGGTGTTCTGAAAAAGTTTGTATCCCTGAAAAAAGTTTCCCCCACCAGAGGGGGCGCTCATGATTAGGAAGTAATCTGCTTTTCCCCCACAAGATGGCCCAAATCTCATGTGAAGTCTCTGACTTTTGTGTTGGCGCCTCCTGGTGGACTATGTGTAAAGTGCCAGAATTCATATGATGCAACAGCTGATATATATTTGTTGTCAAAATACCTTTTAGTTAGCCTGGCCCTTGCCTTCCTACGCAGCTCCGCTCAATTCTAGTTTCCCTTCACTGCTCCGTCTGGGACTTCTCCCACTGAGATGGATTTCGTTGGCAGATTTTTAGCCGGGCCATTCAGAGAGCAGAACGTCCATTTTCTGCGCAGTGTCTGCTTGTAGTTTATTTTACCTGGGCCAATCAGAGAACAGAACGTCAATTTTCTGCGCAGTGTCTGCTTGTAGTTTATTTTACCTGGGCCAATCAGAGAACAGAAGGAGGAGTTTTGAACGATGTCGATTTTCTGCGCAGTGTCTGCTAGTTAGTTTAGCATACGGAAGTGGAGGAAGTGAATGAAGCCAGTCTGTGTTGATAAGGCTTCCAAATTAAAATAAATTTGTCTGACAAAGCAGCAGCTCTCATTTACAGCCGTCTCGTTTGGCTCGGTACTTCTCTCCTCTTAGTAGGGTTGTTTACAACGCACGCGATTTCCGGTTAGCTTCTTAGCTTAGCCTCCGTCACAGCGACATACGTCGCAGCCAACTGATCCAATCATTTTAAACTTCAGCAGAGGCCACGCCTCCTGCAAGAATCACTTCTCTATGCATCAAGTCCAGACCCGCGTACGAAGCAAAGTGAAGGACAGTGTCTGGTTTAAACCAGGCTACCTTTTAGGACATATGTTGTTAAAATAAAATAAACAGTCCAATGATCATTTTACTGATATGTATAAATACTGCAAAGGCTGAAAAATCTTSAAGTCTGTATGAAATTGGAGGTAGTTTGAGGATTAATTTTTTTAATGCTTTTTAAGCTCAAAAGTGGGGGGGTCAAATTAAACATGAGATCGTATTATACATGAATAAATATGGTATTTTCATTGTGCAGATGTGGTTAAATACCATGTTGAAGAAGTTTCATGAGTTACTTGCTTTGTGTGTCCCATCATGTGTGTTGCTTGTAGCTGGACAGTGTTGTCTGTCAACCTGCTAACACACCCCACCATGTTCATGCTGTTTCAGGGGCCCGGGTCAATGCCAAAGACAACATGTGGCTCACTCCTCTGCATCGGGCTGTGGCGTCCCGGAGCGAGGTGAGTGTCCACGTCCAGATCTAAACAATCTGAAACTAATTAGTTCTTCTTCTCACACCAGCAGCAGGTGTAAAATAAGTTGAATTGAATCTTTTGGCGCTCTGTTTGGCTTCAGCCATCACTCTGACCAGCTATTTGAAAGCTTTACATCAGTGGACGACATGGAACGACTGCATCCTTTGTGCTAATTTAGCCATTCATGTTTCAAAATATTCAGCTCATTCAGGAGATGAGTGCTCTAGCTTTGGAGTTTTTGTAACTTTTATGCATTTCAAAACGTATGAATGTTTTTGGACAGCATAACTTGTGTTGTGAATTAGTACCATATAAATGAACAATTAAATTCAATTCCCTTCAAACACTTGTTTCTTTAGCAGACACAGTTTTTCTGCTTTTAGTTTGTAGCTAACCTTATGCAACTTTTACCTTTTTTAGTAGCCATTATTTTTCTTTTTAGCTAGTATTTTCAGAGCTGATAGCACTTCATTGCTGTGCAAAACATCCAATGTAGAGTTGCTGCAGGAAAAAAAATCAGGTTTGACCATAGACTTAAATATAGATCACTAGATTGAGTCCCCGCCCATACCGTCCACTGGTAGCATCTGTGACAGCATGGAGGAGCAGAAACAGACCTAACAGGACAACAGCTCACAGCCTCCATACAAACTAATAGATAAACAGCAGCTGAACCGGATCTGTTTCACAGATTATCTGTCATGTTTTTACAGTAAATTAATAATTATGTTAATTTCATTCAACAATCATGTAAAACAGCAGATTTATATCAGAAAAACATATAAGTAACAATGATCTAAACCAGACCTGAAGTCAGCCTGTAACTTAGACTTTAGCTAGTTGAAAAATGGTGACTTCAACTAGTAATGAAGTATATTCATTATTTCTTCTTACTGTCATAAAAATTAA